TCACAACTTTGCGGTCTAAGTATTTGGATAAAAAACCAGCTTTTTTTTCCTGTGGCGTAGAGTACAGCATTGGGGTTTCTTAAGACAAAACTTTGAAAGATTTGGTTCAAATTCAGGTATAAATAATCACCGCTATCCCAATGAAGTCCGTGCAAATAATTTGTCAGCCAGTTGTAGGCTTTTTGTTCAGATTTTGGAAGAGAATTGAAATTAACTGGAGGTAGAAAAATTAGGGAATCACTGTAGTCGGAAGTTGTTATAGCTAATTCTTATACTATAAATGTGTTTTTCTGGTGTCGAAATCCCTCAAAATCCAACACAACTGATTTTTCCTTCAGCATTCTAATAAATGGTAGAGTTTCGGTTTCTTCAGTTTGATATACAAACAAAACGTATTTCCACTCAAGTGACCAATCAAACTACTGTTGCATTTCTATGGTAAAACATAGCAGTATGTTGACCAGTGTTATAAACTTCGTGGACAAAACCGGCGGCATCGTGTAAAATAGCATGCAATCGTAAAATTTTCGAATCCATTAAATAATTATCCAAAGAAGAATTGTCTATACCGATCAGATCCTTATAGGGTCTCAACTTGATAGCAACATCGTAATTTATATCATTACTAGTTGAGAAGAAGAACAGTGAACATGCAGCTAAGAAATAATTTCGACGGTTGGTGTTTTCCGGATAGGTTTTTTTCCAATTTCATTTTTTATTTTTTCCAGCACTTCTCCGACCTGCTGAACTTCAAGCCAGTGGAAATGAAAGTAACCTTTTAGATACCACTTACTCACTTTTATTTCTAACTAATGATTTCAACCTATTTTCATGTGTTTAGATGGATATTCCCCTTGGTGGTCTCCACGAGTCACCCATTGATTTGCCTTATGTGGGACCTGGAACTCACGAAGGCAAAAATATCTTTGGTGTGACCGTAGAGTTTACCCCGGCCACCACTGCAGCGAATTTTAAGCTGCATTACATTGAGGTTGCATTTGAGAAAAAGGAGGGCATATTTGAATATGTGTGTGTTGATGTGGGGAGCATGGAAAATTTCTGGCTGTGCGAGTCTCTGGGTGCGGGATTCGAGAGTACTGAGTGGCGCTTCAAATTTCAAATGGAGCGTCTAGTCAGTATTCTTCATGTCCCTTGGTCGGATCCCGAAGACGACATGCGGATGTGGCCGTAAACTCTTCCTCTGCTCTCCTATCCGTACTCCTGTCAACATTCCGTTTTTTATTTATTTTTTTTCTTATTTTTTATATGTTACTTTATCTATTATTTATCAAGTCCTCCTCACCTTCTTACCCTCTTATTATTTGTCACGTCCTTCGTCCTTCTCAAGCAGGTCAGTTTTTTATTGAGGTCTCAAACTTATTTAATTGAACAGTGGGAAAGTTTGGAAGAGATTAAATTTAACCACCGCGCGAAAATAAATACCAAAGTATTTTGTCTGTCGGGTGTCCTAAGAGAGGGGTCTTTTTATTTCGGGCAGGGTACTTTGGGGTCTTTAAAAAAGATGGGTCCTTTTGGACCCTACTTTTGGTAGGACCCCAAAGACCCCTACCGTCGAAAAGACCCCCCTCTCTAAGGACACACGGCGGATGACAATACTACTTGCCTCTCATGAAAAAAGGTTATCATACAATTTTCATATATGGAAATAGTATGATAACCATTTTTTTTTTCAAAAAAAATAAACGTAGTTATTTTTCATCACCAGACTGTTGTATTTGGTTCAAATAGCCGGAGAAACTAGATTGAATCTTTTTTCAATGGTTTTTTGAAATTGTATGAAAATTGTATGATTAGCATTTTTCCATACATTTGATGCAGGCAATTGTATGATAATGATAAGCTATTTCGGTGTGCGTAAGAAATGTAAGATAAGCATTTTCGGTTTATGGAGGTCAATCAGGGGTCACATTACCTTTCCAGTCCTTTTTGTTGATTTTAATCGGTTTTCTATATAAGAACGCTCAAACCGCTCAAATCTTGCTGAAAAACCGCTCAAACTGCTCATATCTTGAGCTTTTGAGTGGGATCTCGACCCGGGTGGCTGCTGTTGCCCAGGGAACCAGCTCATCCAAAACGGGAAACTGGTTTTCTTGTGAACATTATTTTATTGTGATTGCCGTCGGTGGAGGAATCCATCCGTACGTCAAATTGGCCATGGGTGGAAGCCAGATCCACGTATGTCTGCAGCAGGTTCTGCAGTCCCGTATTCTCCAGTCAGTGGTAGGAGTGATATCCTTGGAACACGAAACCAGCCTCGGCGGACTTCAACGATGCCCGCTCCGTTGCGTTGAGTTTGCGTCCGGATGTCGAAGCAGAAGCATGTATATGTTTGTATATTTAGATTGTAATTATGAAATATAAAACCGAACGAGGAAACCTACCTCAAAGCAATTTTTGCATGTTGCGATTCTGGGTTAGAAAGCTACGTCAACGGTGACTGGCTGAAAGGTCTGCCAAACATCCAGGGGTGTAAAAAAGATTATTGTGAATCCGATAATCGCCGATAAGATATATCGATAAAATCTATCGTTCGAAAAAAAATTATCGAGATAATTATCGATTGAAAAAAATTATCGTTCCGCTGAAAAAATTCTTGCAGAAGCGAAGAAGCAAAAGGTTTTATGTCCCAATTGGATTGCGTGCACGTCCAACATCGTGGAACGACTATTTAGTCGCGCTCGTTATGTCTTCACAGACTACCGAAAACGAACAACACCTGTGAACCTTGAGAGTCAGCTGTTCCTGTTTTCCAATAAATCATTTTGGAATGTTACTTCATTTTCAAAAATTGTGAATTAAAAAGTTCAGCTGCAGTTTTTTTTCGAGCGATAATTTTCGATATATCGATATATCTATCTTTAAAAAGTATGACAAAACGATAATCTATCGAATGACTCCGATAATATCTATATCGATAATTTTACAACCCTGCAAACATCTGCCTTGCATTCGCCTCCTTTTGGACGGGTAATGTCACAATTGGAAATACAGTGCTGATTTAAATTAACCGGACAAAACGCGTTAAACTTGAAATTTAAAACGCATTTTTCTCAAATTGGGTTGAGTTTAGGTGAAAACTTATGAAGACAAAACTTGCTTAGAATTTTAGCAGAATTAAGGTTTTGCAAAATTCGGGTCCAAATTTTAACCCCAAAAATGGGTCATTTTGGCTTTTCTTAGTTAATCAAAAATTACGCCAAAACTACCCAGTCGATCACAGACATAATTATATCAAAGTGAGCCCCTTACATAGCCCAACAAACTTTAAGAAGGGTATTTTCTCCAAAAAAAAATTGCATATTGTTTAAAAATTGTTTTTAAATAAAAAGTTAGTATTTTATATAGTAAAAATGACCTTTTTTGTCTATCAAACAAAAATAAGTTAACTTATACAATGTTTTGGAGAATCTACCTTCTTAAAGTTTGTTGAGCTACGTAAGGGGCTTACTTTGATATAATTATGTCTGTGATCGACTGGGTATTTTTGGCGTAATTTTTGATTAACTAAGAAAAACCAAATTGACTTATTTTTGGGGTAAAATTTTTACCCGAATTTTGCGAAACAATTTACTCCATATTAATTCTGCTAAAGTTCTAAGCAAGTTTTGTCTTCATAAGTTTTCACCTAAACTCAACCCAATTTGAGAAAAATGCGTTTTAAATTTCAAGTTTAACGCGTGTTGTCCGGTTAATTTATATCAGCACTGTTAGTCATAATGAACTGAAACTGAGCAGTAACAGGTTAAAGCGATTGACTGATGATCGTAAAATGCATTTGCCTTACGTAACATATCAAAGACGGGTCTAGGACAACAAGCCGACGGGACTTCAAGCCGAAGGGACTTCAGGCCGAAAATTAAACTTTACAAGCACCTCAAATCAATATTTTTTCATCTGTACAACGTTGTTTTTCAAAATCTTACGCTAGTTTAGTCCATAATAAGCGTTATTTATGACAATGACTCACTTAGGATTGACATCCGTTAATAATATCAGCCGGTTTTTGAAATGCATAAATTATAAACAAGAAATTTGCCTTTAGCCGTGTTTTATTTTTCAACTTTCCTAAACATCATTTGGAGGTTTAAATTTTATGAAAACGGTGATAAATAACGACTAAAGATCATGAAAATGAGAAAATCTTCAGAAAAGTGTTCAAATTAATCTTATTTCATGACTTAATGAGAAAATTTTCGGCTTGAAGTCCCTAATTTTACGATTCGGCTTGAAGTCCCGTCGGCTTGATGTCCGGCACCCATCAAAGACGTCAATGTACTCTAAAAGATGTTAGAAATTGTGAAAAAAGCGTTAATGTGTGAACGGCATCCTAAATAGGTGTGAAGCCTTAACAGGAAGCCTTAAGAGGCGTGAAGTGAATTGTGAAAGATGTTAACAGAAGTGTGAAAGGTGCGAACTCTTTTGAACCCGACCCGGACCAGGTTGCTGCCCCTAAAAATGAGGCCCGAGCCCGGTCCGGAAAAAAAACCGGGCCGGTTCCAACTTTGCCCCCAGTATCTTTGTAATATTGTAATATGCTCAGTTCTGATTGGCTATAATTTTCAAGTTAGAACCAAGTTATCAAAGATGAGTGCATTAATTTGTGCAAGGAAGAACAATAAGGGAACCCCTGTCAGAAGGACCGAGTGTCCGCAAACCTTGTCAGCCAATCGGAATTTGTTATTCATAAATTCAAAGGAAACTAAAGCTATAATCAGTCAGTTTATGGCAATTCAATGGGCATCAAATGATTAAGAATTTTCGAGCATTCGTTTCTTCTGAAATGAGAATAGCCACCGAGAAGATGTTACTTCGTTTTTTTAAATTTTATTGTTTGGTTATTAAAACCATATTCACTCGCAGAACAGGGGCAGATGTTCTAATCTATTCTCTCCTGTATTTATCGCACTTTTATTTGAACCCAAATTTCTGAGAAACAAGTCTCTTTCTTTTCACCTTTGGTTTGTTTTGCACTGTAACAGTACATGGATTCGACGTATTCGTTCAACTATGACAAGGGGGATTGGGCTTTCGATGGACCCCTGCTGCGCGTGATCAGAAAGACTTATGTGAAGGACTACCGAGTGAGCTGTCTCTTAACCCACCTTCGGTTTCTGTTCACACAGTACGCAAACCCACCCTGTCTGCTCCTGCTTGCTATCGACAGGTAAGATGCTTTACAAATTTTTTATTAAGATCGGCTTAAAAAAATGTTCAACACTCTGGGTGGGAGTGGGTGTGTTTGGGGCATTGTTGCAAATTAGTGATGTATTGTGTCCTATTATTATGGGGCAATTAATGCGCGATATAATTCGCGCTATTAACGCGAAAGCGGAGACTTAATCAGTCTTGGAAATTGTTCCAAATAGGTTACATGAAACTTTTTTGATATAACTGATTTTTTACTAGGAGCAAAATCTATCATTTTGGACTTTCTATGGCGTGTTGGAGGATAATTTTCACAACAAAAATCAAATTTAAAAAAATTTCGTTTCATTTTATTACCTTTAATTTTTGATATCATACTGCTCCATAAATTTTAAAAAACTACCGGAAGATTCACGCAGTTTTTTTTAAGTGTTCCTTTTGTTACTATGGCAGCCGGTAGATGATACGAGCAGTTTTGTCTGTTTTATAACTGGTCTTTTTGTTACTATTGCAAAATGCGTGATGTTAAGATGTAAAATATGAAGAAATAAATCTGTTCACAAGAGTTAGTTTGTTCCACATGCCAAGTGTTCTTGCTTTAAAGACGGGGGCCATCGCAATATTGCGACCCGGAAAACAACTTAGCAGTGTTGGTGGATATCTCTATAATGTGCGAGGCTGGCAAGTTTATCGTTCTTGATATTGAACAACCAGTTCCCAAAAAAAATTAATTCCAGATTACATATCTTAATCAATTCAAAACTCTAAATATATTTTTTGTATTCATTTTGAAAAACTAATTTATTATCTTTAAAATAATTTTTTTTCTTTCTGGATCTCTTTCTCTCTTTTTTGTTTTTCACAATTACAAAACTATGAAGCCATCAAGCGAATCGTTTGAATGATCTGTCAATCCAGCCTTGTTTTCTTTAAGTATTCGTTTTTTGAACTTCAAATGCAAGTACCATGGGTCTAGAGCTGACTCGCTAGAGTTGTTATCTTTGAAACTGGCAGCATCGTCACTTTCCCATTGATAAACTTCAACTATTGAGAAATTTTGGTCTGTTTCTTTTTTCTTGAATACTTTGATTAGCTTCAAACTGCAGCACCATAACGCAAGAAGCGTTACCTCGAATCCATTTTCCTCGGAAGACTTAAGGTGGATCCAATCAATTTGGGGAAAATGATGCAGAGAAAAAGGTATGATCAAAGTAGTGAGATTCATTGGATTTAAAAAAATCAAATCGGAACCGTTCATTTGAAACCAAAACTCGAAACCATGGCCAAAATGATTGCAGAAAATGCGTGGCTCCGTCATACACTGCAACTGCATGCTCTCTGAGAGTGAGGCTTTAATAGATCTGGACTCTAAGTCCCAGTATATAACTCCAAGGTTATCATGAATTGCGAGGGGATACTCGAAATCATTCCAATTGATTTCCGGTTTCAAGACCGGTTCTTCAGCAGTCTGCATATTGTACTGAACAACCGATTGCGTTGTTGCAATGAAAACGCAATTTGAATCAGCTACTGGTTGAATGAAGCGCACGCTACCACTCAAGCTTATTTTGACTACCGATCTTCCTTCAAAGATGCAGTCATCTTTTGTGTATTTAATAAGATCTTGATCATTTTTCCAGCAAGTAATCTGCAATCCGTCTTCTGTTTGTTCGAAATCAAAAATTTTTTCACCTTCACGATATCTGCTCAACAAAGATTGTTCATTTTCTGCGAACTCTTCATTTAGTTTGACGCTTCTCTCGGATAATTGTCGGATTTTTTCTTGTTCAAAAGTGGGTAATGTAAGACAGTCGACAAAGTCAACGGCAAATTTGCTAACTAGATCATTAACTTTGCTTTGGTCGAAGGAAAATGGTGCGACATAGAAGTGTTTTTCAGTCAATCTAGCACGCTTTTTTATTGTTTCATTACAATTTGTCTGCTTCCTTTTTATTTCTGTAACCAGAGAAGAGTCTGACTTCGGTAGTAAACACAAAAGTCCTTGTTCATTAGCATCCGATTCAGAGGCAATTTCCTTGCATTCGTTTACCTTCAAAGTTACTTTGGAGTCATCCAAAGCGTTTTCTGCATTAGTTGAATCAAGTTTGATCAAACTGCATTTCTCCAAAATTAAATCAGCGACAGTCTTTGTTTGTTTCACAACGTAATCTTTCGACAAAATCATTTCTTCTTTAAATTCGGTCTGTGTTTGAATCAGTACATCATTCGTATGCGAAAACAATTTCTCGCGCTCTTCAAATAGTCCCAAAAGTTTAAACACCTGATTTTGGTTGTCTCATGATAAAAAAGCAAAGTTAACATTTTACTCATGTACTTGTACGAAGCAGAGGAATGGTTAATGAAAAAGGGACAAAGAAGCCAGATAGTTAGTAAAATTGCAACTTTTGCCACTTTTTGGACTGAGATGAAACAAAACTTCTGCACCAGTTTTTTCCGTTATTCGTTATAACTTTTCAATTTAAATTTAAAAACAAGCGAGTAGTTAAAACAAGCAAAAAAAGTTATGCGCCTTTGCAGTTGATTTAAATTAAACTAGCAAGCCAGTCTCCAATAATCAATCGGCTCGCAGAAAGTTAATTGTCGTTCTGATCAAGCTGTTCAAATAATGAAACTTCATTCAAACTCAAGTCAAGCCATATCGTAAATCGGTTCCAAATTTAAAAACCAAATGTTCGCGAGATGTTTAAATTTTTCTAAGCAAACTACTCAAGCAATTACTTTTAGAAATATTTCCAGTTATTTCAAGATTTTAAATTGGATGGCGACACGCTTACGTTTTTCTTTTGAAGCCATTCAAGCAATAAAACTTTTGAAAGTTTTCGAAATACTTTAAAGCAAATCAGTTAGCGAAAAGTTACAAATTTGGATGCAAGCTTTTCAAGCAAGTAATTTTTTCAAGCAGCCTATTGAAGCTATAAAATTTTGAAATTTTTCAAACTACTTTAGGCCAAATCAGTTCGCGAAATGTTCAAGTTGTTCTTAAGCAAAAATTTGAAGGTGCAAAAAAATTTTATAATGAATTTTTCTAGTTTCATGATGTAACAAATCGGATGGAAAAATTTCCAACTTTTTTATTGAAGCCAATCAGCGATGAAAATTTGAAATGTGTCGAGTTGTTTTGTAGGCCAAATCATTTTGAGAAATGTTAAGGTTTATTTAAGTTAATTCTGGCAACGAATCGTTTGCGAAAAACTCGAGTTTTTTAAGCAAGTTATCAAAGTGGTTTAAACATTATTTTGATACATTTCAAACTATTTCATGAAGCAAATCAGATGGCGAAAAAGAGAAGTTTTTTAATGAAGGCATTCAGCCGATGAAACTTTGAAATAATTCAAATTATTCATAGCGCGAATCTGTCTGCAAAATGATTAGGTTTTTCTAAGCAAGTTATTTAGGCTATGAAAACTTGATTTATTTCAAAGTATTTCATAAATCGAATGGGTTCGCAACAAGTTTAAATATTCCTAGGCAAGCTATCAAACTTTCAGCTATTTCAAAATAAATCATAGCGCGAATCGGTTTGCAGGAAATTCATATATTTTTAAACAAACTATTAAATATATTGAAATATATTCACTTTTCTTTATTGAAGCAAACCAGCAATGAAACTTTATATTTTGAAATTTGTTTTATAGGCCAAATCAATTTGATTAATGTTACACTTTTTATAAGCAAGCTATTCATGCAATAAAATTTTGAAGTTTTTTATGTCACTTCAGACAAAATCGGCTCTCAAAAATTTCACGCTTTTGTGAAGAAATCTAATGAAGCTATGAAATTTTGAATTAACTTTAGTCAATTCAGACCAAACAAGCTCGGGAAAAAAACAAAACTTTTTAAGCAAGCTATGGAGAATTTGATTTAATGTGACTTAATCATTTTTTTGATATATTTCAAACTATTTTATAAAGCAAATCAGATGGTGAAAAAGAGAAGTTTTTTAATGAAGGCATTCAGCCGATAAAACTTTGAAATACTTCATAGCGCAAATCAGTTTGCAAGAAACTCAAGATTTCTATGCAAGCAAAGGTACTTTGAAAAATATCAAGTTGTTTTATAGACCGAATCAATTAGCAAAACGTTCAGGTTTTTCTTAAAGAGGCTATTGCAGCTAAAAAAACATGAAAAAATGGTTTCTATTGAAGCCATTCAGCGATGAAATTTTGCGAATCGTTTGCAAAAAATTTAAGTTTTTCTTAAGCAAGCTATTTCAGTTACGAAACTTTGAAAAATTTCAAGTTGTTTCATGGAGCAAACTAATTCGCAATAAGTTCAAGCTTTCCTTTGGTAAGTTACCCAGGCTGTGAAACCTTAGTATGTTATGTCCCCGATCGAATCGGTTGGCAAAAATTTTCCTATTGAAACCATTCAAGCGAGCCTTTCAAGCGATAATTTATTTGAAGCCATTTTATAGACGGGTTCGGTTTACAAAAAGTTAAAGTCGAAGTTTTTCTAAGCAAGCTATTCAAGCTATGAAACTTTGAAAAAAAATTAGTTTATAGACTGATTGATTTCGCAAAAACTTCATGTTTTTCTTAGCAAGTTTTTAAAGCTATGAAAATTTGAAACACTCCAATTATATTTATAGAGCAACATTCTTGCAAAAAAATGAAAATCTCCTATTCTAGTCATTCAAGCAAGGAAACTTTGACGTTTTCCCAATTGTTTCATAGAACGAATCGAAACGCGAAGAGTTTAAGTTTTTCTAAGCAAACTATTCAAGCTATGAAACTTTTCAAATTATTTCATAAACCGAATAGTTTCGTGAAAAACTGAAGTTTTTGTCTGTCTTCAAGCTATTCAAGCTATGACATTTTTCCAAATACTTCGCGAAACAAGTCGGCTTGGGAAATTGTAGGATTTTCTAAGCCAGCAGTTCAAGATATAAATTATTTCAATTTTTTTATAGCGCGTAATTTTTGCATAAACTTTGAGCACAATTTTTCCAAGCAAGCATTTCAAGCTAACAAAACTTTTCAATTTTTTTCTAAAACCGACTCGGTTGGCAAAAAAAAATTAAATTGCTCTGATTAAACTATTCAAGCTATTATTTCATAGCGCGAATCAGTGTGCAAAGTTTCAATGTTTTTCTAAGCAAGTTATTCAAGCAAAGAAAACTTTAAAAGTTTCAAATATTTCACCGAGCCAAATGGTTGGCTCACAAAAAGTTAGAGTTTTTCCGAGAAGGCTAGTCATGCTATGAAATTTTTTAAATTTTGCGCTCGATACTATGTATCATGTCCTGATATCTGTATCCGAAAATCAAAAATTCCAATTGTCCTAGTATTTGGAGTAAAAAATTTTTTAAACTTTTCAAAACGTTCAATCAATTCCTTGATTCTTTTTATGGAGTAATTTTAGTTTATAAAGTTAGGAAACATCTGGTCTGACCATTCTATACACAAAAAACGCAATTCAGACAATTCTGGTCAAGAAAAAAGATTGGACTCTACATATCTGCTGTTCTATCATACAATCTCATGCATGGAGTCTATGGCAACAGAATTTATAATAAAATTTTCAAAGATGAAAACAGTTTGAAAATATTTTTGACGGAGCTGAAAAAAAACATTTTTCTTGAAAAAAAATTTTGGGAAGAAAATTTGTTTATTAATTTTTGACAAAAATTTAATGTTTTTCTAACAATATTTTTAATTTTATAACACGAAGATTTTGTCTATAATTTGAAAAGTTTTTTAATATGAAAAACCAAAAATGCTACAAAAGTGTTGTGTTAAAAAATATATATTATCATGATTTTATACGGTTAAGAACATTTTGTAAATTTTTTCGACTGAAAAAATTTTCGTTATTGTTTTTTCGAACCAAACACAAAAAAAGTTAAGCAAGACCTACCATACTTTTTATCTTTTGTTTTTTGGACAAAAAACTTTGTCTTACAACTTTAATGTATAAATAGTGTGCGTTATAGAGATTTCATATAATTTTTCTGCGATTATGAAAACACATCGACACAAAAAAGTTTTATTAGAAAAAGTTTAACCCGGGCAGTTGAAGATACGTTACAATCAATATCTTTTAATGTCAACGAATTGAAGTTTTATATGGAATGTTTTCTTACCAGAAATTATTTTAATCTACCATCAAAACTCAACAATCAAACAAGAAGTTTGAGCGGCGCACACTGATTCACGTGAACTATGCCGAAAACACGTGCATCAAAGATTTTTTTGTCGTCTCCAAACAACGCCGCATGAAAACAACGTCGCCTAAATGCCCTAGCGAGTCCCTCAATTTTGAACATTGATAGCTGATAATTCAAATTAGAACCATTTTTCATGTGTTTATCAACTCAGAGGCGAAGCGGAGCTTTGCATTATTGCGATGCAACACAAACATTAAAAATTGAAAAAAAAAGAAAAATATTGTAAGAGAAAATTACGAGAACCAAAGTTTCGTATGTCTCGGTAAAAAATAAATGGGGGCCCAGCTAAAGCTAGAGGTACTTTTTGCTATTTTAAAAATTATTTTACTGATGCGGAATGAAATAGGTAATTTCAAAGTTTCAAAAAATGGAGCAAACAATAAGTGAAAAAAGTGCAAATATCAAAGAGAATGGAATCTTCTCAAGAACTTGAACGCTTTTTTAACGAAAAATTTGAAAATTTGCGGCTTCTGCCAAGAAAAATTAATCTAAAATTTGTTTGCGAAGTTTCTATGAAAATCGAAAAGTTTCAAAAAACAGTCAGAACATCAAAAACATTTCCGAGGTCCACAGGATTTTTTGCAAAAAAATTTCTGGTAGCGTAAAATGTGAATATTTTTATAACCGGGTTTTTCGATTGAACACTTGACCTACAAATTGGCAGTGTTGTTTTCAAGAAAAGTCAATAAGGGTCCAAGAAACTGTCAATAAAACCAGAATGTGACTTTTCCCAGATTGATTGCTTTTTGTGTATGCAAAATTGGGTATCGCTGCTCAAGCAAAAGAGATCAAGACAAACTATTTCTCCATTTTAGCACAAAAACTCAGAGTATGGATGATAGTTTTCAAGATAAACCAATTAGTTTTGAAAAAAAGTTCTAAAAAACGTCAAAAAATAAAAGTAGCAATAACATTTCAGGACTTCATTTCGGAGGGCCTCAACGGGGAGTAACAAACTTGAGCGTAGCTGCATTTTCAAGTGAGATTTCCGTTTTCTGATGGAACCCTAATTCTCTTTTTTGGGAGTGTGGGTTTTGAAAAATTTAAAAAAGGTCAAGAAAAAGGGTCAAAGATTCCCCACTAATTTTTCCGAAGGCTGTAGACAGTGAGGCCAAAGAAAAAGAGACTAGCGGACTATGCAGGCACACGGAAGAGAAGGCAGTTTCTCGGTCGATAGTCTTGAAAGAAAACTTAAAACACCACAGCCATAGAAACTTTATAAAACCTGTTTTGATCAAAAAGATTTCTGGACAAACCTGCTAAGCAAGACATTTGAATTTAATTTTAGCAACGACACAAAACTAACGAAGCGGTAACAAAGCCGACAAGCTTTGAGCAGACAACAGTTGAGCCTTAAAACTTCAAAAATTTCAAGTCGACCTTAAAACTAAAATGATAAACACTTGAAGCTGCCTAGATACTTGGTTACGAAACAAGAAAAATCTGTGTCGTGGCACCTAAACCGACAAAGTTTAAGCTGATAAGCGAAAACCAGACAATTAAATTTTTATAGGAAAAACATTTTCCAACTTCAAACAAACTGAAACAAGCAAGGTCCTATTGAGACTCGAACCCCAGACATTAGGATAAAAAACAATCACGTTACGTCATTGCCAATTGAGAAGGAACCTCAAAATTTTTAGGGTTCTATAATAAGTTCAATTTCTGGTAAGAAAAATTGTTTACAGGAAAAAAATAGTTTCCGAATAAAAAATGCTTGCTCTCGCAAATGTAAGAAAACTGAAAAAAGTTTGCGTTCGTTCTCAAAGTGAACAATATATATCTCTGATAACTATGCAAACAAGGTTTACTCTTCAAAATTTTGTTTCTGAAAGCAATGACTTCCGCAAAAAATCTTCTCCGCTTTTTAAAAGCGAACCAATATTTTCTTGATAGAAAAAAAGATCCGGCTAAAAAATGTTGCACTAATTTTGCATTACTAATTTCTATTTTAATTTTGCACATGAAAGTTTTGTGAAAAAAAATTGGGAAGTTTTTTCTTTTAAACCTTTTTCGCTGATACAAAATTTAATATTTTGGCGTAGTTATTGAAACTTTAAAAACTTTTTTATATCGAGAAAACTCAACTTATTTATTCAGCCTTATCTAACAAATGGAAAAACAAACTTTTGTCAATTTTAGTTTTTTGTTAGCGTTCTTTATTTTTCGAGCGAACAAGAAAACTTTTTTCTTAATTTATTAAAATTTTCATATGGAAGAAATGAAACATCAAAAATTCTTTAAAATGATTTTACTTACCGAATCTGGGAAATTTTGCATAGAATTGCGTGTGTATTGAGATATAATGTAATGCAACTGTTGTTTTCAAAAAAAGTTGCGCTTAATCAAAAAATCTTATGTTCGATTTTTTGTAATTTGAAGAATCACACTAACTCGTCTCGGATTACTGATTCCTTTTCGGTTTCAGTTTTTTCTTTTGGTCAACAAATTTGGAAAGGATATTTCGGTCGTAAATAGGTACCACCAACTAAATTCCTTTGCAAATGAAAGAAAACAGTTTTCGAAGCTTTTTTGGGTAGCCATTGAGGAATCTCGCCACCTTACCCTCTCCAGTGTTGGGTGAGATAGCTCAATCGTTTTTTTTTGGCATAATTATAACTAATTGAAAAAAGTTTGGTTGATTTGAACGATTGTGGAACACCAAAGATCACAAATCGAAGCGCGTATAAACGCTTGTATCAAAATATAAAACAGTTTTTGGTGTTTTGTTTTGATAAAAAGCTAGAGCATCAGTCCTGGTTAGTTGTTTCCCTCAAAGCAATGATCGCGCAAAGACAATCGGAAAAATTTTTCTCATTTAGAATAAACTTTAAGTCGGTCCAGGGGTGGATTTCGGGGGGGGGGCAGGGGGACGGACGTCCTTTCTCAGGGATTCGACCCCCTGCCGACACAAAGGGTGCCCCTTTGAACTTTTTTGAGATATCCATGTTTGGCTGACGGACCCTAATGTTTTTTAAAGGCGTCTTTGGCGCCAATATATACTAAATTTAAGGGGAGAGCGCGCGCCAAAAAATGCGATTTTTTGGTAAAAAATTTTACCAAAAATTGCTTTAAAACGCCTTTTTGGCCGGTTTTTCTTTAAAATCTTTTGCCTTTTTTAAATTTTGTGAGAGCTCGAAAAATCAACTTGCTCAACCTATAAACAAAAAGGTCGACTAAATTTTGAAAAATTTTTGAAAGTCTACCCTCCCCCCTGGAGAAAATCCTAGATCCGCCCCTGAGTTGGTCAATTAATTGCGCGCTATCAACACATTAACCTACTTGTTTGATGATTTTTTTGTTTCGTTTTACCGCTTTGTTTGGGATTGAGGGATAGACCATGTGTCATTCGAGCTGCCATATGCAATTTCAGAGAAGTGAAGCCGAAAAAAGTTTACATTTTTTGAAAAAGTTTATCATGAGACAGCCTGACCTTCTTTCTGGCTTCAGAAGCTACCGTGTGTAAGGCTGTAAAGTTGTGTCCACGATGATCAAGCAAGCATTTCGAACATAGTACACTTTCGCAGTCCTCGCAATAAAACAAACGCACAATTCTGTGCTGAGTGCAGATATCTGCATCGTGGCCACGATAATCAACAACTGCGTGCAGTTTTTTAACATGCCACCCAACGCAGGTATCACATATTTGCAGATTGCTGACAGAGTCCGTTGTATCGTTAGTTTCACAATCTCGACATCTAAACGCCAACTCTTCTTGCAACTTTTCTTGACATGAAGAACAACATCTTGTATCGTCAACTTCGACTTCAACTTCGGTCAACTGGGGTCGTTCTTCGGTGTTTTCAGCCATGATTTAGCTATTGATTCGTTAGAAAGCTAAAGTAGAATTTAAAATTCAGCAGTCAAATCAATAATTTTTCTGAAACTAACCAAGCTTTGACTTGAAATTCTGATGATAAATGTTTCACTTTTGAATGCAGGCAGCTATTAACTGAACATTTGTATCAGTAACACTTTATATTTATTTTATTATTATCAGTGAAGAAAAATAAGCGCAAAATCAACCTTTTACTGTTTAAAATGCCTGTTTTCAATGTCCATTTTGGGCAACATTCAATTCGTTTTACATTAAAACTTTTACATAGACAAAGAGCAAACCATCAGAGCTACTATATATGAAAATATCAATATTTGATCTCAAAAACTTACCAATGTAATCCGGGTCTGAAAACGTCATATTTCCTCATCTGCGCTGACTTTTTTCTACTTCGCGTGAAAAAGTAAGAAAGTCTGAGTTTAAAGAAATTGTTTCCATTTTCTCGCTGAAAATGTTTCACGTCGCATGAACAATTTTTTATTCCGCTTATTCAAGAAAGAATTCACTAACGATGCCAAACATAAAGCAGATAAGGAAATCGGCATTTTGAGACCCAGATTACAATGTTAAGTCTTTGAAATCAAACAATAATTTTTTTATATATGGTACACTATTGAACAAAATTAAACGCAAACTCACAATTTTACTTTCCCAAAAATTCTTGTTTTCAATGTGTTTTTTTGACAATGACAATTTTTTGACAATTTCTTCCATAGACAAAGAACAATTCATCAAATCTACCATCTAAGAAACTATCAGTAATTGGTTTTAAAGAGTTAAGGTAATCAGGGTCTGAAAATGCCAGTTTTCCTCGTCTGAACTAAGTTTAGCATCTTAAAGAACTCTTTCTGGAATGAGCTGAGTAAAATACTTGCTAATGCGACAAAATGAAACTTTGAAATAATTTGTGTGAAAACTTTACTGAAATCGGCTGTAACTTACTTTTTCACGCGGATTGAAAAACTTAGTCCGGATGAGGAAAACGGGTTTTTTCAGACCCGGATTACATTTGTCTTTGAAACCAAATATCTATAATTTCATAGATGGTAGATCTGATGAATTGTTCTTGGTCTATGGAAGAATTTCGTTGAAATTTGAATTAATTGTTGTCAAAAAATCACAATGAAAACAGGCAATTTAGCGAGTGAAAACCTGATTTTGCGCTTAATTGTGTCCACTAGTGTATATAATTTATAATGAATTTTAGCAATGATTTTATACATCACACATCGTCAAAAGAGAACAAAAATCAGACTAAGCATACTGAAAACTGTAAAAAGCAGCTGAATAGCACGTGGACAGAAACAAACTATGCTTAAACACATAAATTGCATGTCAATTTAATTAAAGCAATGTTTCTATGCGTTATAACTAAAAAAATTTAGTTAACAGCAAAACACTTGCCATAAAAACAATGAAAAGTCATGTTACAGTTGTTTAAAAATATCAAACGGCAGAACGTGATGTTGCCAAAAAAAACCAATTCCACTCCTAAATCTTGATAAAATTCTAATTGATGAAAATTATTTTGACCACTTAAAAATGGTAACGAAAATATTGAAGAAAAAAAATATCGCAGAAAAATAAAATACCATAAAAAACCGCAAAATATTGATGCCAGCAAACCGCAATTGAGGCTTAAATCATAAAAACCACAAACTTTTTTGAAGTTGGAGTGCAATTAAGTGGCAGCCCGCACCAAAAAGTCAGCTTTTCGTTGACTAAAATGTTGGGTAGACAATTTTCATGGTGGCAATTTGGATCACTCGTGGTTTTCTAATCGATTATAATCTGTTATTGTCAAAAAACAAAAAACCATTTTAATCCATTGATTTAATTCATTTTTGGTTCTCAACATATAACAGGTTGTTTGTACAGAAACTCAAGAAAATCTATAGTTTTTATAGTGACTACTCTGATTTTTGAAGCTTTCTGCCTTTTTCGAAACAGAAACAACGCGTTCATTTCCATGCTCGAAACAACCCTCACGTCATGTACTACCCCCTCTTACCCCAAGTCCTGCCACAATGCCTCCGCACAAGCCAGAATCCCCACATCCCCCATTTGCCCCACGTCCCCAATTTGCCTCACCTCTTCCCTCCGCATTAGATATAAACGAAACTCATAATGCACTATAGAAGCAATGCTTAGCTGAATGCGATGTTATATTTGGTCGAACACAGTTTTTCAGAAAAAGCCTACAAGCTCCACATTTAAGATAAAGCCCATCATACTTCATATGTTTCACGCATTTTAAATACGAGAATTTTCTAAAATGGATTTTCTAAAAAAGATTCTTTAGAGAAGATAATCTCGAGTCAACTTGCCCAGACAACACATCTCAATTTTTTAACTAAAATTTTGCGCGGACAGACTCATTTTCTTACACATGCCCCAACAATTTTTTTTTGCTCTAAGACGTTGAAAGCTTAAACTTTTGGCAAACCGGTTCGATCTATGAACTAAAATCGTTCGAACAACTTGCTTAGTAAAATCATAATTATTAGCGAACCGATTGAAAGATTTCTCAACCTAGCTTTTGAAGCAAAAAAACTTAGAAATAATTTAAGCTATATCATTTCAATAGCTTGCTCGAATAATTTTAAATTTTTGTGAGCCGATTTGCTCGATGAAGTAACATAAAAAAGTTCATAGCAACGTCGCTTCAATAGCTTGATGAGAAAAATTCAAATTAACTCTTAGCGCAAAAACTTTGCTAATTCATTTGCTCCTTGAAATAATTTGAAATATTGCAAAGTCTCATCAATTTGATTAGCTTACTGAAAAAAAACTTGAACTTTTCACAAACAGATTTTGTCTGAAGTAATTTGAAATATTTAGAAGTTTTATAGCTAGAATGGAATGCCTACAAAAGCTTGAAATTTTTCTCAAAAGGATTCATTTGTAATAAGTTGACTTAATAATTTTTCAATCAATTGATCAGCTTGTTTAGAAAACCAACAGATTAAAGAAATCTATGGAAGCGAAAAAATGAAGAAATTTAAAAAGTTTCTGCAATTCAGTAGCTTGCTGAAAAAAAATCTTAACCTTTTCCGATTTGGTTCAAGCTGTAATTTAATTTTTTTTGCGTATATAACTTAGTTCCCAGAATGTTCAACAATGAATGCTTATTTTAAGTTCAATTCATAATAAATTTCATTTTCTTTGCGCCTCCAACACACTTGGTCTGGAGTTAATGAGTAAACTTGGAACGGTAAATAGTTTCGAATCTGAAGGGACTTGGAACGGTAAATGGTTTCGAATCTGACGGGACAAATAAAAAAATATTGCGTTAAGAAAATGTTTTTTTTGGCGCACTTTTTTTCGTCTTGGTTGCCACATCATAGAATTACTGCTTAGGCAATCTCTCTCTCTCTCTCTCTCAGCGCTTTTTACCGCTTGGTAAGTTTTTATCGAGGCTAATTTCACAATATTTTGTCCTGTCATGTTTTTGTTTTAAAACTTGCTCTAATCATTTGATACATCCGATTTTTTTTTCGGCAGTTTCAAATTCTTTCGATACTTTTTTTAAATTTTATGTTTCAATTTTTCGCAGATTGTATCCCAAGTGGTGCAAAGCAGCGCTTGACCTGTGTAAAAATTCAAAACTTTTCAAAGTTTTGTTACTTGAAAGACTTTTTAGAAAAACGTAAATATTTGAACGTGAATCGATCAATCGTGATTTAACTGAAATCATTTAAAACGTTTCAACGCTTGATTGGCCTGCTCACGAAATTTTGAGTCTCCTACAAATCGATTCACGGTATGAAATTGCCATGGAGCATTGCAAATTTAATCATTCGAATGGCTTGCTCGGAAAAATTTGCAAAACGTCTCAAGTTGAAACGGTTGATATATTTCAAATTTTGCCTAAAAAATCTTCAATTTTTTGAACAGCTTACCAACGATTCACCATCCGAATTAACTTCAAACTATTTAATGTTTCGTTGATTGAATAGCTTGCTAAGAGCAGCTAACTTTTTGCGAGCTGATTGATAAATGGAAACAGTCTCGCTAGTAATATTTATCTAAAATGAATTGAAATTCTTTTGATAAAAACTTTAGAAAATAATCTGTTATAATTGATTAAGAATGGATTGCTTCGAAAAATGTGAAGAAAAAAATCCGTTACTAATCGAATATTATTAATGGTGTTCGAAATTTAGAGAGACAGACTATACAAATCTAGTATAATTGATTTTATCTGTAACACTTCAGTGCTAAATGGGATTGATGAGTCGGACCAGTAATTGCAGTCTCCTATATCAACAACCTCAAGTATATTTAACATCGGGAGAAAATGCTAGCCGTATTCCTTTCAAATAAGATGTAAAATTATGTTTTTTTCAGCAATTTCGAATTTTATAAATTTCGGTAATAACAAAGAGAACATTTTTCTCTTATGGTAATTTTGCAAGCGAAGACCAGCAACAAATATTAACAGTAACTTCAGAGCGTAACTTCGTCACTTTTGCATGCATGTGTTAAAGTTGAAGAACTTGAAAATGCAGAAAACAGGCAGTCTCTGAGTTCAAAAATACTTAACGATTTGCTTTTGCATGAACTACCAAATTTTTGCCAGAACTACCAAAGTTTTCATTCACTACAAAAATATTTTCAAAATTAGAGAATTCTTGCTCTTAAGATTAGGATTAAGGCCATTTATCCAACGGTGGAAAGGACCAACACAAGAGCTGTATAGCTCATCACGGCGAACCGCTGTTGTGCCCCTGTTTAAGAGCTATCTGCATTTTTTTGGTTATTTTTCTGGGCTGGGTAATGTTGCTTCCCTCAAGCAACGAGCACGGATCATGGTGGTCCTCGAACATCCGACCTTTCGATTGAGAGGCGGAGACGTAACCACTTCACCACCGCTCCCCGCTCTTTAGGTACGTTGCCGTGTGTTGGGCCACCCGTGCCAAACAGATCATGACTAAGACAGTGCGAGTGGTCTCTTGCTCTCTCGTCACCCTCCTGATCCTCGCGATCTTCGTGGCCGCACCTGCGCGAACACTGCACAAGTACTATAGCCAGAATGGGTATCTGGATTGTGATTCGATGATGTACAAAGATCCTAAAGTGCGGTCACTCGTAGACGGAATTGTGTTCTATCTTGCACCCGCTGTACTCTGTCTAGTTCTCTATGGACGAACAGGTGAGCTAAGGGCTTTTTTTCCATAATAGCCGACTTCCAGTAAATTATAAGCCTCCCAAAAATTTCAAATTCCAATCAATCGAGTACCAAAAAAAACATCGTTGAATCCTAAATTTTAAATTATTATCATTAACCGGTAACAAAAATGGGTTTTAGCAGTTGAAGGGTGGCTATTCGAATAATGGAAGAACCGAAAAAAATTACAACGAATCAGTCTAAAACCATACCGAGCGCCGCAGGCAAAATTTTGAAAAAAAAACCGGGCCAAAAAGGCGTTTCTGGGCATTTTTTGGAGTTTTTTAACCAAAAAATCGTGTTTTTTCGGCGCGTACTCTTCCCTTAAATTTAGTATATATTGGCGACAATTTTAGGGTCCGTCAGCCAAAAACGGATAGTCGGCAGGGGGTCGAATCCCAGAGGGGGGGGGGCGTCCAGCCCCATAAATCCGCCCCTGTTCGGTCCGATTGCATTATCGGATTGATTTATAATCTGCTTATTTTATTTTTTAGGTCTGTATTTGTTTATTTTTGTCAAAATTTTCTCGACGTTATCGAATTTTGCGATTGGCTTATTTTAATTTTCTAATATTCAGCCATTCTATTATTCGGTTAATGAACGAACGCTCTAAGCCAATTAGAATTCAGAATCGGAAAAACTGATTGAAAGAATCTAGAAAATCGGTCAATTTTTGCCTGTTCAAAAGACACTAACTGGTTAAAATTTTTCGACCATTCGTTGCTTCTGCCCTGAGATAGCTCATCTTCGGTCTCCGTACAATCTATTTCACCCATTTTTAGGTTACGTGTTAATGCAATCGAAGGGTAGCAAGCAGATTCGCAATCGGAACCTAACTGTCGCTTTCATCCTGTCGAATGTATTCTGGATAGTGTGCTATATACCCCAACATGTGCTGACTCTCTACGGAAACCACATCATCGACTCCAACAGAGATCTGCTGAAACAGTCCAAGGCATACTACATCGGCAGTGATCTCAGGTCCTAATTTTATGACCAATTAACCACCAATATAATACAAGCTCTTATGAGGGAAATGAGCAACATACGAGTTGTTCATCTCTTTAGGGTTAACCGCTGTTGTGCGCCCGTATGAATAATGACCCCAAAGGGATAGGGGACGGGTCAGAGGGGAGGATGGTGAACCCCAAAGGGAAGACAGTCAGGGGTACCACGTATTTTCAGAATCGGATGTTCGAAAGTGTTGTCGACTTTTTTATGCCGATTTGGCATCAAAAGAATTTAGTGGTATAGCGACAAGTTTTAGAGTGGTCACCAGAAGCGAGGGTCGTGAAAGGGGGTTCTATAAATGGTAAATTGAGTTCTGAATTGAGAATTTCTCTTCTTTAATTGGCATCTGATGCATTAAAACATTTATCATTGGTATTCACACATTTCGCCCCCTTTGAAATTATTGGCACATTTCCTCCTACGCACATTTCGCCCCCACACAGAAGAAAGCAGCGATTAATTAATTGTGTAATAAATTAGGGGCAAAACATGAGGACGAAATGTGTGAAATTATGAGGGGCGAAATATTTGTGGGGCGAAACGTGCCACTTTTAATACCATCTCATCCCCTAGTTCTTAGATATCTTTTTTCGATTGAGGTCTCATTGCCATTTACTCCAGAGAAAAATTCTTAGGAAAAATAAAACTGTGTCTACTTTATTAGCCGATAAATCTTTTCTTTTACCACAGATAGGTCAGCAGAAACTTATTATCTATCATCTTCCGACTCTGAATATTCTGAAGTTGTCCATAAGTAGCAGTTGGTTTTTCAAAAAATCGATATGTATTATTGTTTTTTTTTTTCTGAAATCATCAAGAGAAGGTTTTTGAATTTAATTTCTACTGTTTTCTCTCAGACATATCAGCTACCTGGCCCATTCTTACGTCAGTCCTCTCTTGATTCTCTTCATATCCAGACGGTTCCAGGAACCCTTTCGGAGATGGTGGAGTCGCAAAGTTCTCCCGACACTACTCGGCAGGAAATCCCGAGGGGATGTTGTCAAGACTCAATCGCAGACTAACCCCGCGTCGTACACGGATACCAATCAGACAACCAAGTCCTCCGAGGAACACCGACGTCCTCTTCAAAAATCGTCTATGAATGATAATTAGATGCCTCGAGTTTCTTGAACCTGATAACTTTTCTAACTCTCTCATTCCTGAAAACCCCAAAAATACTTACTTGTCATCTAACAAATTTACATCTAACATCATTAACAGTTTAGTTGCCCAAAAATAAATTCAATATGAGTTTTTCCAGCGTTGAGATATGTCACCAAATTTAACCAACAATTTGCGATCAACAAACTTGCATTATGACAATTGTAGCGTCTAAAAAAATACACACCGCTGTCGACAGAAAGGTATCGTCACCTGTGACAACTTTTCTTCTAAAATTTCAAACATCTGAGTAAATACATGAGCAAGTTTTTCAGCTTTGCCAAAACCATTAATTTCTTAAAATTAAGTTTTTCAAAATTCTAAAGACTAATTATTGATTTCCAATTGAGATGAAAACTTCAGTCATTAGCTTTTTCCAAAATTCAGACATCACTTAGTAAAAAGACGAAGCACAAAGAAAGCAAGACAAGGTAGCCAGTGGAAAATTGACATGGAAGCCACTGAGTTGAATAAAATGGAAAAAAGGTCAAAAGGAACTGGATATACCAAAAATTTCATTTGTTTTGTCTTAATTTGCCTCGAAGGAAGTAACCATTGCAGAACAGTTGCCAAGAACGACAATAGCCGGTGATTAATGAGTATCAACACAAAGTTTGCAAAGCGGTAATTCAGACGAAACAGACACCCGTTGCGCTCATTGAAAATTGTTTTAATTATGTTTCGATGTTACCCCCTTCCCCTTGAAACATACGCATAAAAAAACTTCGTCCATCGGACAACGTTTCTAATCAAATATAGTTACTTAATAACCATAATGAAAACAGATTTCAAAAAGAACAGGTATTTAATATTCAAACATGCTCAAAGTATGGCTGTTGCTCAACAAATCACAGAACTGACAAAAAAGATTCAGTGATTCTGGTACACACGTTTTAAACCGGAAAAACCTATGTTCCAATTTAACAACGTTAACAAAATGTTTGTGGTAATTCGTACATCTGTTTACTAAAATAAAAATTTGATTTAGTCTTTCGAATTCTGTTTTGTTGATTAAATCTTATTTGAGGGCATAGCTAAGATCTTCAGCTTTCCAATGAAAAGAAGCTTGGAGTTTGATACAATCAAACACCCTGTGCTGTTTACATAGGCGAATCCGACACCTACCCCCCCCCCCCCCCACTAAATGGGCGGATCCCGACCCCCTGCCGACCCAAAGGTTCCCCCTTAGTATTATTTTGAGATATCAATTTTTGGAGACGTACCCTAAAATTTTTCTAAGGCGCCTTTGGCGCCAATATATATCAATTTTGAGGGGGGAGCGCGCGCCGAAAAAACGCAATTTTTTTTTCAAAATTTTCCATAAAAGCCTAAAAACGTCTTTTTTAGATTGTTTTTTTTTCAAAATTTTGCCGACCAAAACAGGGTCTTTTTGCTGCTTTGGCAGAGCTCGGAAAATCAACTTGGTCGACCGAAAAAAGTCAAAATTTCCGAATTTCCGCCCCCACCCCCTCGAGAAAATCCTAGATCCGCCCCTGGCTGTTTATGCTAAATCTCGGCATAAAGATATCTCGGACAAGCTGCGATTCAATCGCCAAATAACCCCTTGCCAGCAATTTATTTTGAAAACTTCAGAGTTGTTATGATGCAGCCCTTTTCTAGCGTTTATATTTCAATTGAGCTGATTTGGCGAACTTAAACAGGTGATTGAATCATTTATGAAAAAAAAGAAACGAAGATTTTTTCAATCTGTTGCAATCAAATATAATCATAAATTTACAACAATTGAGACAAAACTCCATTCATTGCTTTTAATGAACCGAGAAAATCAAAAACCAGATTGAACTCAAAAAACAACATCCAAATAGTCTGTACAAAAAAACTTAACAAACAATTCTGACAGCTAAGGAAAATTCAACTAATTAGTCACCATTTAGAACACTCCTACCTATTAACACTTACTAGCAAGCAGATTTTTGAAATACAATAAACACAACGTACTTAAATGTTTTCTCGAACGTAGCAGCGGATATCGAACTCTCTCGAGAGGTGAATTTCTAACTATGTATAGCAAGAATCCGTTTGCGAAAACTGAAAAGTCAATAATCAGCCTAGGTTTTGTTATTTTACGACGGAAACGTTCGTTTTTTTTTTCAGCTCGCCCAGAAGAAGCTTCAACTAAAACTGGCTGGCGTTCTCTAGCCTTGAAATTGAATCGCAATGATCTTGACTTCAAAACAAAATTACGCTGAAACTTGAAATTGAAGTTGAATCGAAATGATCTTGTTTGAAGCCTTGACTTGAAAATCTTCTAGAACATACCAAACTGAAAATATTTCAATTTCTATAACATTTTTACCTGATGGCAATAAAGCTGAAAGCAATTTCCTAACGTTGCGTTTGATAGCCGCATCTTTATCATTTCGGCTTAAGACTACGAGGAGCATGTCAATCGTTTTAATATTTAACAATTCAAGACATCCAAGTATGAGCATCTTTCTATTTTGAACTTACAGAAAAAAACCTACACGTACTAAATTCTTATAAAGTCATTTTTATCTCATTTTGATTCAACAGCCTGGCCACTAAAGATAAGTCTCTATAGCAGAACATCAAACTTAATTTTATCAATGCTAAAAAAATTAACTTATAGAAGACTTAAATCAAGGCTAAATTAGCTATGATGATACCTCACTCGTACTTTCCAATGACTCTTGGAAAGTATTTTTTGCCAAGTAATTTTGCGCTATATTCAGTTAGGCGTATCAGCTTAAATATACCTATATCCAATAATTCTCTGGAGAAAAAAATTGTCCAGAAAAAGGAACTAGCAACAAAATATCATGACAAGAATGAGCTGCAGTGAAGTCGCTTGACAAAATTAAACCGTGTCTGTGAGAACAATTTATTTGCCGATACAAAAATTAGAAAACACACTGTCTAATATACGATCAGTAAGAACAGGTTGGCCTATCAGAGAGCTAAGTTTATCGACTGCATATCTTACTCGTTCACTCAGCATCACCAGGTCCTGTTCCGCAACCAAGTCCTCCGAAGAACAACCATTATCATTGGTATCCATATTTATGGTAAGAACTGAGATGCACTCTTTAAGAACTTGGCTTTGGTAAGATAAACACTGAAGAGAGAAAAGATCATCTTGTTCTGAAAATGATTCATCTAATATCTTGACTAAAAGAGATTCCAATTGCTTGATCCCCTGTTTAGTCAGACAGGAAACAAGAAGCGATGATTCTTGGCAATTAGTTGAAACTTCTTCTAATTTTGTTGTCTTTTTGTTCGTCTTAAAGTTTTGAGCCCAGTTAGAAAAAGAGAAAGACAGATCTTCATCATTTGCTACAAGATCGTCAGTCAAAATTTGAGATGAAGTATGTTCGGCAGAATCCGCAATTTGATATGAAACACGTTCGGCATTCGCAATCTTTCCACTTGGTTTGAGCAATGTATTAGTATTACCAGAAACATCCGTAAACTCCGTTTCTTCAAACTGTGCAACTAATCTATCTGAATAATTAGAGTTAGTACTGTTCAGAAGGTCTGCTTTATTGATGACTGTGATTATAGGAATTGGAATACCAGATGAGCTTCTGATTGTCTGTTGCTGATATGTTAAGGCCCTTCTTATTTGTTCATTTTCTTCACCTGTCGAAGTCTCGACTGATTGCACGTGTAGCAGAATGTCTGCTTGTTGTATCTTATCCAGTGCCATTTCAATCCCTTCTTTCTCAATCTACAAAATACCAACTGCTACCACCACACAGTCTACCACAAATACCAACTGCTACCACAAATTTTTTTGTTTCTATCCTTTAGTTTATTTTCAATGCAAATTTAGATTCCACAAAAAAAATTAGAATTTGCGTGAATTTTTATCATATCAAACTCTTTCACGCACGGTTCGAGATCTTAATTTAAAAGTTTTTCCAGTCTCTAGAAAATGGTTCGACAGTTTTCACTTTTAGAAGCGAAGAAATGGAATTCACGCTCAGACTTTTGAATCGTGGATATTTAAAGACGCTTTATCCTGGAGGGAAGGGAGCAACATACGAGCTGTTTAACTATTTACAAAAAACCGCTCTTGTCCCTGAACAAAAACAACATGTAAATTGTTTTTTTTTCTGGGCTAGGTAATTTTGCCTGACCCTCTAGCAACGAGCATGGATCATGAACTTCGAACCTCCTACCTGTCGATTGATAAACAGAGACCCAGTCACTTCATTTGAAATACCATTTCTCACCCATTTAAATTCAATCTACTCTAAATAAGTCTAAAAATACAGAACAAAACACAGAACAAAACACATAAAACATATCAAAAAAAATCGAAGATCATAGCTGAAAATTATTAGTGAATTATGTGTCCGACCACCAACTTAATTGAAAGGACTATGGATTCAAGTAAGACGCAGCATCCAAGAAATATAGTAGAAAATTTAGAGAGATATCAAAAAAAAACTTTAATCCGTTATACATGCTGCAATGAATAATTCCACACAAAATGCTGAAATTATTTTATAATATTACTATCCAGCTCATCGGACAGCTAAGCTTGATGTCTCATACTCTGCCTATGTCTCCGATTCAACCAGAATAAAATGAAACGCGAAGACCCGGTTGCCGTTCAAGTAGCACAAAAAAACGACCACAATAATAAAAACTGAAAAAAAAAGTTTCGATACAGCCGGACTTTTAAAATGCTGAAAGAATAAAATCAGAAACAGTGGCAATTGTTTGCAGTAAAAAAAAACATTCTTAAATGTGGCAGCTAAGCCAAAAAAACATAAGCAGACATATAATAGGCCGAAATTTTTTTGAACCGGAACATTTATCGTTTGAAAAAAGTCCTCGTCAGATTCAAATCCAGGACCATTGCCATTCCAGGCGTATTCGTTACCTCCAGGCTAAGTGTGAGGAGACACTAAAAAATTTGAAATCATTATAAACCAAGGTACCACCTGGAGTCCAGATGAAACCTGTGACAAAGTTATTTACGGAAAAAAAGTCTAGTACCCGATTACAATAACCTTGCTTATCGCAAGAGTAAAGAAATCAGAAGTCAAACCACGAAAATACTTTCCTGTACAAAAAATCATCGTGACCTATATAAGAGTCTGAAGTACGTTAATCGACTCTTAAAAATACTGCCATGGTCTCGGATTCGAACGTTTGATCCTTCGCGACATAACCCCGCTCTTTACCACCACACTACTTGACCCACATTTTCATGAAAATTAGCTTCATTAAGAGGGCAAGCTATCAGATGATTCAAGTGATTCTGTTAAACTAGTTGTTAACTTGAAAAAAGTGTATAATCCAGTTTGATAACGCTTGCTAATCACAAGCGTAATTATTACTTTTTATTTGAGATACCTGATTTTGCGTAAAAACATACCCAATAACAAAGTCTTCCCCGCTTTCAGAAGTTTGATAATCATCCCTGTAATGAAAAACAAGTTAATTTGCCAGTTTTTAAAAAAAAACTTCCATGGCACTATGGCTAAAGGCGGGATTATAAAAGCTTAGCTTTGACGAAATGTTCTCAGACTCGTTTATTTATCAACAATGGAAACCTTCTTCTAACACAGTGGCGAAGTGGAGCTTCACGAAATTTGCAACCCATCGCAAGAACAGCGTTGCATGCTGGGAAATAGAAATCACTAAGACAAAAAATATTCGAAAAATTATTATCTAGAAAATTTTCATACGTTTGTCTCTAAGAAGCTATTAAACTTAAGAAGCTCGAAGTTTTTACAAGACACCTTGCCTGAAAAGTAAGAGAACATATTTTTTTTTGCCTTTCAAACGACACAGTATAAGGTAACTTAGTTGATATAACATAATAACATGGCAAGACAACACAGCGAAATTAGCATCGTAAGAAAACTTACCAAGCGGTAAAAAAAACATACCTGAGCAAAAACCCTTTGAGCCGAAAAAATCAAAAAACGTACAAACTAAAGAAAAACTTTTAAGCCCCCTTCCCTCAAAATACAGATAAACGCACATAAAACCTTTTTCAGGTCATCAAATGACGTAAAATGAGATCACTGAGCCAATATAATATAGGCCGAAACTTAGAAATCCGAAAAAAAAGAAACTGAAAAAAACTGAAATTTTAACAAATCGAGTTGGTAAAGTTACAACCAACTTTTTCCAATACGAAAGACATCTAAAAGGCTATCATGTTCAAAATATGTGTGTTGCTCAATTTCCAACAGAGGCGACCAAGAGATAAGTCCTGTGAACAAAGTTATTATCGACGAAAAAGTCTTGTACTCGGTTGCAACACACTTGCTATCACAGGTTTTAACATACCTTCAATTTAGGGATAAGGAAGTAAAACTTAATTTTAGGGAGCATGAAGAGTGTGGTGGGATGGACAAGAGTCTAATAATCTAACGTGGTGATTGGGGGAGTGGGTGAGTCCTGCAGTGTCACTCAGCACCACTGGCCACCCCCCAATGTCCACTATGGTCTCGATGACGTCACGAGTAGTGCCCCTCTCATCACTAACAATCGACACTCTCCGTCTGAAAAGACAAAAACATTTTGAATTTTGGACAATGATATTCGTGGTAAAATACTGTGCCAGCTGAGCAACAATCTGATACAAGAATTCATCATGAAGATGCATAAGCTTTAGACAAAATTTGTGATATTGTACAAATCGTCTATTTGAGTATTGTTTCGATGTAATTTAATGACGCAAAAGTTTAGCTCACTGACGCAGTCTAACCGGTTTCGGCTTATTGGTTCATCGGTTAACTAGTAAAGCACCATAATTTACATATGGCTTCGCAATTGAAGTTTTTTCTGATCAAATACCTTCACACAGAATCGAAGCAGCGCTTCGCAAACACTCGCGAGAACACGACCAAAAAGCAGCTGTATCAAGTTAAAAAAGAAAAAGTAGAAATAAGCCTCGAATTAGCAAAAAAATTGGCTAAGTGTAGGATTCGAACCTGCGATCCATTGCAATCAAGGGATTTTTTGTCTCGCGGAATATCCCCTCAGCCACTCAAGCTTCACAATCGACAAAAACTAGTCACGAATAAAGCAGCTACATATGCTATCAAATTGCCAATGCGATTCAGCACCAAATACAAATAGACTCAATTTTGCAAATAATAATTTGAAATAATACAAACTGAAGGCATCCACACTAACTTTACATGTAACAAATCGCAAAGCATAAAGCCACATTATTTCTAAATTAAGCATTTGAAAAAAATTGCGAGATACACTGAGTTAGAAAATTTCTGATATCGAGTTTTTGTTATTGTGATGTTCTTTGAAACAAATCGCTTTGTTCGTTTCAATTAATGAATTAAAAGGCCCCGCGCCTTTTTTTGTTCCCAAGGTTTTTTCATTCCACATGCATTCAACTTTATTTGTACATGCTCCAGTTTTTGGATCTTTGAAGTTTTGAACATGATTTAGTGTCAGATGACTGAACTCCTTTTCCGATACTTGATCAATTTTAGAAAAAAATTTCCATTCAGAGATTATCTGAGTTCCTTTTTGAATTGATGATTCTGTAATTGGTATCAAGTTTTCTTTCTTTCGGTTATACACGGCATATAGAAAAGATTCAGCCGTTTCCGTACAAATTCCGCCAAAAACCCATAGCTCTTTTACAGCATGGCCTCGATTGTATTTTCTTTTTTAAAAAAACTCTCGCCTATCACTACAGTTTTGTCAATTACCCCAATTTTGATAAGACTGGCCAACAATGCTGAGGCACATACATCTCTTAAGTAGTTGTTCCAATCAACAATCGTTTCTGTAGAAGATAATCTCTAACTCTTTTTGGCAAAATGCAATAGTTGTGTACTCATTTGCCCAACAGCAAATAAATAAAGTGAATTTGCTGTATGATAGATGTGCCCCATGAAACCAGGTGCCGCTAGTCAGTTGGGACTGATGCCTGCAATTTTTGTATTACAACGCCATCGATCTCCCTTGTCCCTTGTCAGTTAAAGGTGATTTCATTACAGATCCACATTTAATACAGCATCTATCTGCATGTAACAATCATTTCTCAGTTAGATAATGCTAGCGTCAGTTTTATCTTGTACAATATTGTTCAACTTTATCAAACTAATTTTGAAATTTATTCAAAATTTTTTCACGCAGAAAGTTGGAGGTCACTTCCGGTTTCTTAGACTACATTCGTTTGAAAATAAGATTCAAGGTTGATGCTAATTAGAATAAATAAAAGTCAATTTCGAATTTTTGCTTCGCAAAATTTCACATACAAAATTTCGAACTATAAAGAAAAAACTAGATGCCCATAAAGCTCTTTGAATTTCTAGAACAAATTATGATCGACACTGATTAAATCAACCTAATTTGAGAAAACTGAATCAATAGGCAAACTTTTTATTCCGCTTGGAAATCCAAAAATTGAATTCCACTTTCGAAACAAGAAGTCAATCACGTTTTTCGTAACCTTTACAGTTTGTTGTTCGATAGTGGATTTTGCCTTCCTTTTAACTAAAGAATTGAACAGATTTTAAAAAATAACTATAGGTCAAACCGCGAAAAAGTAATTTTAAGCCTGAACAAAATTCTCGACTTTTCCTGAAGAAAAAATTCAAAAAAATCATCAGCACCTTTATAAGAGTCTAAACAATGTGCATCGACTCTTAATAGCGTAAGGAATGAAATACGGATAGTTTTGTTCAATTTAATGAGCGTAACAGCAACTTTAACCTGCTAAGTAAGTTCATCAGGGAGCTCTTGCCGACGTTAGGAGCTCCTACTAAAACCACTCGGATACCATCGTGGACTCTGCTGCGTCTTTCGGCCGAATGCAACACTGACTTCATCTCTTCAACTACTCTGTCAATTGAATCGGCTAATTGAACACACACAGCGTTGCTGTCAATGTGCTCTTCTTCGCCGAAATCAAGACAAGCCTAAACCGAAACAAAAACAAACAACAATTTTCTACCCAATAAAGGAGCAGCCATAGCGCCTCAGAATTATTGATAGGCTCATCAGAATCCTTATTTAACGCAGGGGAAGATAAAAAACGACGAAAGAAGGTTGTTAAATACTTTGTTACCACGCAAAATTAGGTACCACAAATAATATAACGATGATGGGTCGAGTGATTTATTATGTTATTTATTATGTTAATTATTATCCAGTAATCCTCCAGTAAAAACTAGTTTTTGAAGCTAAATCGACCTCTAAGTGAGGCTCACACGCTTCGCCCGCTGCTGGGCTTCTCCAAACAAAGTACAAAAAGTTTATAGATTAGGTCCGCGTCATACCTCGATTGACGCCTGGCATTCCACTAAGGCATGTCTCCATTTTCCAAACACACTTTCCTCTCCCGCTTTACGGGTCCCGTCAGATTTCTGCTTCGGTAGTTCTGCCAAATACGAAGACAGAGCAAACAGTTTCTGCTTAGATGTGTTTGCATTCACTAACTGATTCACGGCATTCGCTTGACTGATGGATACTTTTCCGTTAAGAAGAGCCCGTTTTGTAAACTCGCCCGCTTGAGCTAATCTGAAAGTGGGCAGCTTATTGAGGCATTCAAGAATTTCATCGACCACTGCGAGACCTATAATAATAAATTTGAAGAAGAAGAATTTATTTACCTGATGTCGAGTTTAAAATCAACCAAGAAATCTAAAAATGCGCGAAACTAAATGAGCTATCGTGCATACACTACTGACATCAGTTAAGTTAAGACGATTTATCCGCAAGAGAAAGGAGCAAAATAAGAGCTGTTTAGCACTTAACGGAGAGCCCCTATTGTGCATTGTGCCCCTGTTTAATATCTACCAGCAATTTTTCAAAAAAATTATCTGGGCAGGGTAATGTTGTCTCACCCTCAAGCAATAAGCACATGGACATGGCAATGAATTGAACACAGGATCTGAAGCTCAAAAACGTGCAAATTGCAAGGAAATTTTTACACACAAAATTAGGTATCTCAAAGAAAACTCGCAGGGAATTGAGTGTGATATCTTATTAGCTCCTTTTCAATCAAAACTCGGAGTCTAAAATATTCAAAAATCTTATATGCAGATTAACAAAAATTTAACACAAAAATGAACCCAAAAATGCGCGACTTAGATAAAGAAAAAATCGGAGAACAGAATAATAATTTATGATGGAAACAACTTTTCTTGAAAACAAAAAATAGCTGCAGATGTAAAATTTTCACGAGGGCAAAGAGCGAACTTTTTCTAGGTCGAAGGGATTTCAATTTCTGCGCTCTCTTCTAACGCAAAAAAAAGACCCATTGTAGTAAAAAGTTTTTGGACAAAATAAGCCTGAAATATGCTTTTTGGAATACTTCGAAATAAACATTGCATTATTTCGGCGCACTCTAAATTCAAATTCAGCGTATAATTGCACAGAAAGCGTCGGTTGTATAATTATGCCCGTTTGTATAATTTGAAAATATTTATCTTGAATGAAGCTTTCTGAAAGCTTATTCAGTTTTGAACAGTTGACCAGTGACCCTACTCGTAATAAAATGTGACCAGTTGCTTTGGGTCGAGAAAAAAGTGACCGGTTTCCATCCACGAGTCTTATTCGTGGGCCATCAAAGCACAGCAGAAAGGTTTCTCACCTCCGTGACAATGAATTTCTACCACGTTCTCTCCTGTCAGCGACTTTGGGCCGGCAAAGAACAACAACAGAACTTCATCAATCACAGTCTGGGGACAGTTGGGACGAAATAATTTCGTCAGATAGACCCTTGTTAGAATAGATGTCCTATATATACCCCAATATAGAACTGATTATAGATTTTTCCTTTTGATTAAAGAAAAGCCTGACGAAATCTCAAAAGCATATCAAATTTTCCTAAATGTAATTTCTGTTCAAAACATACTGAAACTGGTGAGCGATATCTCAGAAAACCTACACAAAACAGATAACCGGGGAAAGAGGTAAAATTATCCGAAAAAAAGTAATTAAATTGGCAAATAAAAATTGCATCAAGCATCAAGAAAATCATCTAACAAACCTAAGCTCCTAAATGCAGAAATAGCATTCAGATCATTAGCCGCGTTAAAATTTCTTTACTTAAGTAGGCTATTAAACTAATTGTATCTATGGACATCTATGCTTTTTCGGAGTCACTCCTCGCCCTCTTTTTTCTGGTTCCACCGATAGAGAGGTCATTTGAGTAATAATCAAAGGAGAAGATGGCCCACTTGCTCTGATAACCCCAATTGCACTTCTCATCCGGGGTGTTGCCAGAGCATAAATTGTATTTCCAGAGGAAGAACTGCTGCAACTCCTCTTCCAGATATTTCTCTCAAGTATACTTGCCTCGCGAGAGATCAAAAGAAAAGGTAGCCGTAGCCTGCGCATGTTTAACTTCATATGAAAATAATTAAGAATCTAAGCTCAGAATATTCCGTCTGCCCTTTACAGTTTGTGAATTAGTTCAGGGGCAAAGCATGCTGAAATTTTTCAAAAAAATTAATAAAGAATAAATAAAAATAAAAAAGAAGAATAAATAAATCCCCCACGCCACGCCCAAAACGCTAAATTTTTCGTCTAGAACCGTTATATTTGGATTAACTAGCTTCACTCCAAAATGTAATGACATTCCAGCCGGATGAATACGTATTATAGAGAAGCGACATTCAAACTATATACTTATTAAAAGAAAAGCGATCATTTCGCATACATTATTATAATAATTTTTGCACAAACTGGCAACTTTCGAAATCTGATATTTTTGCGAAAAATAATCTTGTGTAAAACTTATTTTAAGTTCGGAACTTGGATCTCAATATCTTTCCGATAGCATAAACTATAAACACATTGAGAAAAATTGCTAACTTGAAAGTCGAAACTAGTCGGAAAAACCACCCCGAGTACAGATTTTTCGTAAACTTCTTCGAAGTCGGAACATTACTCAAATTATTACAGAAAAATAGAACATGCTAAAAAATTTTTTTTTAAGCTACAATGTTCAATACAGCGGCGAAACTGCACTTCGAACATGCAAATCTGTACTTCGCCTACACAAGATTCGAACTCTGACCCAGTCCTTCACCCTACCCACATAGCCATGGAATGGCCTCTTTCTTTCAACTTCTTACATGTGTTGAAATATTATTTAAGAACACTTTATTTCCTAGAACCGAAGCATAATTACAATGCTTTATAATAAAAGAAACAATGATAGCCGGTTACTGTGAAAGTAGCACAAAATGTTCCGACCATAGTCTTAAAAATAGCACAACTTTTTTTCTTTCAATTTAGTGTCGATTTTTCTGCGTGGTGTGATCAACGGATCTTAGAGAAATTTGGAAAACAAGATATGAACGACTGAAAGGGCTTTAATATGATATTTCAATCGACCAATTCCGATTATTATTTGTGTTACACCCGATTTTGCGTGGAAAACAAAAAAAACATCAGCACACCCGAATACAAAGTTCCTCCGCATTGTTCAAATAATCGGAACAGCAAGAAGAACGTTTTTCCAAATTCAATTCGATTTTGATTGCGCTATTCATGCTTTCTGCCCACATGAGATAGCATGAAATAACTAAGATTCAGTTATCTGAATTGGCAAACTCCAATGTCCGGAATTGGTTAAACTTTTAGATGATTTTTAACTTTGAGTCCAGGACATCGAAAAACTTGCTCTGACTTCATTAATTATTATATCGACCACTAAAAATCTTCTTTATTCCCAAACTTTTCGCTTCTTTCGAAAAACTTATGTTAGGTGCGACAATACATTAAACACAGAGGCGAAATTTCGCATCGCAAACACTAGGGAGAACACGATAAAAAGCAGCTTTATAAAGTGCTTCAAGAAAAAGTAGAAATAAGCTTCTAATAAGTAAAACCTCGGCAACGTTTCGGCTTTGATCTGCGAACTAACCACTCACCCACGGTTGCCTAATAAATCACAAATAATAGACACAAATAAAGCAGGGAACAGATGCTATGAAACTTCCCAATACACTTAGCTGCTCGACAGTGTAATCATAAGTTTCAACCACTATTTCTAATCTACTTGTTACGCATTCCACTAGTCTTAATAATTGTCACGCGGACCTAATGTCGATCGACCTTAAAAAAACAACGCGTCAAAATTTTATTTGCCAAACATCGAAGAAATTACAGTATTTGACTGTTTTGCTCAAGGAACGGCTGGCCATTTTTTCGTCTTTCAATTTTTGTTTCTCAACCCGAACTTCTTTTATTATTGTCCGACGCACAAATTTAGCATAAACTTCAAAAAAAAACATAGCCAACAGACAGTTGGAACAGAGTCATGAACGAAAGAAAATATTAAAAAACTGACTTATTTTATAAAAAAAATTCGAGCTCCAAAGAAAAAATTGGAGATATGGGAACTTCAAACCGTGTGAAAATTTTTATATCTAAGTTCTTTGAACATTTTATAAAACAAAAAAAGACATAACAAACGTAACATCTCGGAAACTAAGAGCATTTGAGCAGCCAAAATTAGACGAAAAATTTGCAAAGTGAAATTTCTAAGAATACACTCATATCAACAAACTACAAGGTTGGGAGTTTCAAACTGTTTCAATTCTTTAAAATCTAAGTTTTCTGAAAAATTAAAAAGAAATCAGAAAATGTCTCAAGATACGTCATATAAAGAGACGTCATATCTCAAAAACTACAAGGATTTGAGCATCCTTATTTAGAGGCAAAATTCGCAACTCCCTGGGAGCGCCCTGACAGATCCTCGCTGTAGAAAAATTGCATTTGGACGCAAAATTTGCAAGGTGGAACTCCTGAGAGTACCCTCACAGTACACCACTGAAGATGGGAATTTTAAATAAATCTTTTGATTTTTTTAAAAAATCTTATGTTTCCTGAAAAACAAAAAAGATATCATGAAACACGTCATATCTCGAAAACTATAAAGATTTGAGCAATCATTTGGAGGCAAGATTCGCAATCCTTGAGAGTACTCTAACAGCACCCAACTACAGGGTTGGGAATTTCAAATTTAATGAATTACTTTTTCTGTTGGAGTTCTCTGAAAATTTTTGAAAAACCACAAAAATTGTCTGATCTCGTAAACTTAAAAGACTTGGTCATTCATAATTCGAGGCGAAATTGGCAATCCCTGGGGAAACCCTGACAGCATGCCACTATTGGGTTGCTTATTTTCAACTCGGTAAAACAAACACTGAATCCAATTGGAAAATCGGAAAAAAAATTTAACCATGGCAATATACGATATAGCTTAAACATGAAAAAATTCTTTCGTTTAAATTCAAAAAAAATATATGTTAAGAAAGCTTAAACATGGCGAGATAGTGAAGCCCGAATTTAAATATACAATAGATAGAAAGACATTAGATAGATAGATAGATTTTTTATTAACAGCAAACTCAATGGCTGCCTTATGCATCAAATTTTTGGTGAAAAATGAATATATGTAAGTCAATGCTCTAAAAACGGACATCTTCCAACGAGAGAAAATTACTGACTATGGAAACTGAGTTGGCATTGATGACTTTGTTCATGACTCTTAATTATCAAACTAGTAACAGAAAAGATAACAAAAATCGAACTTTAAATATCGACTTTTATCGCCCAAAATAAACCAGCCAATAAATATCACCCTTTTGGTCAACCTGATCACGCAATATTTCAAACAGTAAGCTTGCTATAATTTTCAAATTTGGAGTGATTTTTAAGCATGATTAATTCTCCGCCAACGCCATGAATTAGTAGAAAACTGGTTAAATCGCTCACAAAAGTTATAAGATACTGGTCAAATTAACCTCCAACAACTGCAAAAATGATCGAAATCGAAGGTTCTCAATTTCGAGCTCAGCAAATCTTTATCTTTCAGATAGTAAAGAAAGTATAATCGCTTGAATTAAAATTAGCTTTAATTGTTATTTAGCGATGAAATACATGCATATACTATAGAAAACCTTAGAAAAAATGAACGCAAAATGTGGGGAAAATAGAAAACTGAACACCTTACATTTAGATAATGAAAAAGAAACTGGAAGATGCTAAAATTAAAATCCACAATTGAAAATAAAAAAACATCAGTAAATTCTCAGTGAATTGCTTTTTGTTTATTGTACAGCTTAATTTGCCCTCCTTTTATCAAATGAAGTTAAAGTGAAATTTAAACAATCAGAAGACAAACCGCCAAAAATATTATGAGCTCAAAAAAATTGCAAGTCCCTTTATGCCGAAAAAAAAAGAAATCACAAGAACTAATTATTTGTTTTCACTTCAATTAATGATCCTTAATCACAGGGGCGGATCTAGGTCTTTCTCAAATGGGGAGGCGGATTTTAGGTCGACGATACTGACTTCCCGAGCCCTCCCAGACACTATAAAGACCCCATTTTGACGGAAAAATTACGCCGCAGACAAAATTTTGGAAAAAATATCAAAAAAGCCGTTCTTGGGCACTTTATGGAAAATATTGACCAAAAAATTGCGTTTTTTCGTCGCGCACTCTTCAAAATAAGTAAATATTGACGCCAAAAGCGCCTTTAGAAAAATTTTAGTATTGGTCGACCTTAAATGGATGTCATAAAATAATATCAAAGGGCGGACTAATTGATTGATGATAGGGTCGAAATCCGGAGGGGGCAACCCCCCTCCACTCCCCTAAATGCGCCCCTACTAAATCACAAATAAATTATGATCTGCAAGCTGCAGATTCAAAATTTCAAATTTTGGCTTCGAGAGGACTGTACAGCTCAAGGCAGAGCTACGTTTAAAGAACACAAATCGGTCACAGAAAATTTGGCAAAAACAGAGACCTTTTAGTGCTTTAGAAGAGCTCGGAAAATCAATTTGGTCGACCTAAAAAAAAAAAAAAGGTCGTCAAAATTTTCGAAAATTTTTGAAAGTCCGCCCCCCCCCCTCGAGAAAATCCTAGATCCGCCCCTGAATCGGTGATATATTAGAACAGGTGGCAGAACCAAATTATATAGCTGGATGGCTCTTTGTTATACTCTGAACAGTATTTACAATTTATTGCAAAACCGACTGTGGCAAAAAAAGAAGCGTAGAAATTAGTTCTTGAAATGCATTTCATG